TGTGCAACTTGTCATGCGTTGTTGTGAGTGGACATATCTTTGTTTAATGGGTCACAAGTCACACAGATTCGTCTAAATAATACATTATAGTCTAAATCAGGGGTCACCAACACGGTGCCCGCAGGCACCAGGTAGCCCCCAAGGACCATCACAAGTAACCCAAACATAAAGCAAAATACAACAGTCTAAAACACGACGACAGAACAGGTCTTGTGACTTTGTTTCTGCACACTGATGCCCACACCATAACCTGAAACTGTCTTCAGTTGGACTACGTGGTGACGTGTGCCCGTCTGCACGCGCTCCAGACGCGGAGATATCCACAGCTCCACAAGAAGAAATTCAGGTAGGAAAAACACACAGCTCTGCAGGAGCAAATCTCACTCTTTCACTTACACCAGACACAGCTCTCCAATTAGCTTCGTTCCAGGCCTCAACTATCACAGCGACGTTAATCGAACGCTGTTGTCTCTCTATTCAAGTCAGTCTGCAGATGTTTTGTCTCTCTCCTTCCTCACAGGAAGTGTTTGCGTCTCCAGCAAACACGCCATGGACAACAAAGGAGAGAGCGGCAGTCCTAAACAGATGAGACGTGTAGCCTCGTTAGAACAACATTGCCACTCTCTTCATGGATCGCACAACTCGATGTGTTAAGATGTATTCTATGCTGTCCATGAGTTACACTCGGATTACTTACATACTTACATCAACACTGACATGACAGTCTTTGGACCTGTGGACATGAAGTTGCCTGGCACGTTTTTGTTATCGTATTAAACAAATGTCCACGTGTTCATTCTTCGCACAGTCATACACTCAGGTGTGCAAGATACGCGACACCACACACCAGTGCGTGTCTAGGAGCGGAGATCCCACACGTAACCCCATACTTGTGATTGAGATAATGACTTGTTTCTACCTTCACTAATACGATGTTTTCCGAAGTCATTAATAGTTTGACTTCTCAATTCAGAATTCTAAACACAAAATATATATAACTTTTTCATTACAAACTAAATCAATCATAAGTTAATTAATCAGATTTAAAAGCTTACCCAAGAGGTATATACCGAATTGATTAAATGAGCCTCCACATTTAGACACTACTAATAATATAAGTATTTTGATGTTTCCACCATACTACCAAACAGAGTAATTCGCCTCGACTTATCACGCGTGAAACTAGACTATCCTCTTCTTAACTCTGCCGCTATTACTTTGTGAGTCGGATAACAATACAACACTAAAACAGTTTGCATGTAATTTAACTTTCATAGAAGACAATGAAGTATGCTGGAACGTATGTTTATGTTCTGAATGTTGACAATTTGCGTAATGCTGATGATGTGTCACAGAATACCCAGCTTATAAAATGTTCTGTGTGTTACGTTCTCCTCTTGTTAATTGGGGGGGGGGGAAGACTCTAGAATAGAGCTGTTTATCAGAGAGGGTCGAACTCATAGTTCATCATACATCGTTGCGAAGTATGAGCGTTTACTGATTCGCTGGGCTACTTTTAAATATACATAGGACACATACTTTTTTTTCCCGGTCCTATTTCTTTCAACCGACAGATGCAAATATCCCTTCTGACTATCTTGTCGTCTTTTGGTGTCTCTTATAATATGGATTAGAAGACGTTAATCATAAACAATAAAGCCTATACGTTCAATATATTCAACCTAATTTCACGTCGTATTAGGCGCACCTATCTGTGACTTAAACCTAATCCACAATACGCAGATACGATAAAACATTGGTCGCGAGAAGTATTTGTGAGAACAATTAGATCCTTATCAACCAATCCTCTGTAAGGTAAAGCATCTTGAATCAATTATTCCACCTGGCGATAGTCTACTCTTTGAGTACTTCCTGCTTGTATAATGGCTATATAAAGAGCCCAGGGATGAAGATTATTAAAGTGACTTGGTGAGTAATTTGTGAGAAATGCTAGGAAAACGGTATTTCCTCACTAACTGAGAGCCACAACAGACGCTGATGTGTCTGATTGGCACCAGCGAGCCGGTTGCTGCTGAGCCCATTATCTTACAAGAAGGTGACTTGATGCTTTTTTTCAACTCCCATTTTACACCACGAGCTAAGCCTGCGAGTGAGACCATTAGTATTTGCTATAGGCATAAGCTAGAGAAGGGAAAAACACAGGACATCACACAAATAGATCATCACTTCTCACAGTCATGCGGAAAGACAAACAACTGCACGATAATTGTGATATTTTATAGAGTCATACAGTAAAAGTAGAAGATATGCAGAACTACTTCTTTGTGCTCGAAACTAAATCATATCAATGCCAGGCTGACACCGACCAACAGTCGCCTCTGTTCATCCATTTCTTGAGCCAAACGTCCTCGCAAACACGAGGAGAAATGATCTTTTACCTTTGAGCGTTGTAGGCGGAAGTTGAAAATATAAAAAAAGTGTCATTTGCAGTTACACATCTATTTGGTATTTGCCGTGAAAAATTGTAGTGTAACAATGTGTTCAGTGATATTATGACAAGGTGAGAGCCGAATAAGTGAGAGGCAGATGGTGTGTGTTGGACCTGTGGGACCACGATAGAGAGCATACCACCCCTTCAGCGGTAAGTATCTATTTTCTTGTTTCTAAGGGCTCTCGATCCGACTCACGAGGCCCTCAAGGAAGTTTACGTTCATACCGGTTGGTGAGGAACATCTTAAATCGACTAAACAGTGCTTAGCGAGAGTGTTTGAGCAAGTAGTACAGAATTATGACCTGTTGTTTTCAGAACACGCTCCACTTTTAAATTTACGACCATCGAGTGTTTTTTCATTTAAACAGCAAACAACTATTCTATTTTCTAAACATTCATGAGCACAGTTGTTATCTCACCTTATATCGCCTCTACTGACAACACAGTGAATCCGTATATCGCATTTACCGTGGTAAAAACTCTAATATGTCTCTGCTTTGTGTGTACTGGCCATGTTTATGGTGAGCTGTTCTTGCAATTAAAGACCCCTGCGCAGCGGACATGACCTTATTACATCATTTCACAAGTCACCGAAACAACCACTGGAGTTTCTGATCGTGAAAGGGTCAGCTTATGGGCAACATGCGTCACCAAGGTTACTATGATGCGGAAAAGAGCTTGACACCGTCAGCAGCGAGTTTGGCACGACAAAGTGGTGAACATCGCTCTACCTGTGCTGCACATGACCAGTGATAGTCACCCATCTGCTTGCAACGAGAGGGTCTAGACGTCAAAACAACAAACAACACTATATAAAACGGTAAATGTCGTTACCCACGTAATCCTGTTATTGCGAATGAAGTGCAGTTATCTTGAGCTATTATCTAGTTCCTAACAGATACAGCTAGTTTGAGGTATGTCTATGTACTTCACATCATCCTACTTCAATTACACTTTTGACAGGCTTTGCCTAACTTAATTTCCTTATTTGTATCAATAATTAGAATTCAATCATTATTTTACGCCATAGGAGGTATGTTATATTCATTGGAGCTATATAAAAGTTGTTCTATAACTTTATTGTTCTATTTGCGTGCACTTTTCACAAGCATTGTTCTATCAGAATAAAATTATTCCCGATAATAGAAACTATATAAAATAAGATTTTTGAAAAACATCCGATGATAATAACCTTATACAAAAAATAAAAAAATATTATCAAAGAACACTACTTACATCATTTCTGAAATTCTGGGTGTCATATCAATGAGTATTGGTTTTTTATTGGTTAATAAAACCTTTTGAGTCCTTAATTTAACTACACCTTACAATATAGTAATACCTTTATGCTGTATAATTTCTATACAACAATTATTTATAAATGTTTACAACTAATCAGCTTTCTGTGTGGCCCTTACAGGCGGTTAACTGTTGAGACTTTTCACCACTCCCTGGTATTTGGTATCACCAGCTATAATAAAAAAAAGCATTAGACACCGCACTCTTAGATAGTCCTACAAGAGAGTGGTTATCAATATCGATTTTATTCAAGCATGTTCCACCAATGTCAATAGCTGTCTAGACTCATTCAACTCTAATAGTTTAAACGATTGAGCGCGATTGGACAGCTAACAGATGAGAGATATGCAATCTTGTATCAAGACGTACTTCCAACAACTTCCAAGCTGAGAGCTGAAACTGACAGTTTTCTCCCAACAAAAAATAAAAACTAAGAAATACGAGACGTGTAAAGCGGCTCCAATTCTGAGATCCCAGTTCATTTATTCATATACGTTAGACAATCCTGGTAAAACCTGAATTAATTACAAGCCATCTGACACTAATGAACACAATATAGAAACACTGTCTATATGATCATCGAGACATATCATACGCGCGGATCTCTGTTACAGTCGCAATTCTCGGAGAACATGTATCAACAAGCAACACAAGGCATGAGGAAAGCCATCCTGGGGTGCCTTCTATATCGTCCACATTAGACTACGGGATGCTCTACCACTCACACTGTGGAGATCCAACCTCCTTCAACAAATATTCTAAACTTTCTTAAATCTTGCCCCCTGAACAATTAACAAAAACCCCACAACAATAATGAAAAATAATTAACAAAATAAACTAAATCTACTCCAACTTTTAATCAACAAAAAACTAAATTGAAAACAAGAAAACTAACTCTGGAGAACCTAAACTGAACTAAAAACAAAAAAAATAAACAAAAAAAAAAAAAACTTAAAAGAAAAACAAACTATAAAAAACAAAACTAATAACACATCGTTCTTTGATGGCCAACAATTTGTATTATTATTATATTATTTAATACATTGCGCTTTTGGGCGCAGTCTCCTCCAGTCCAGTGGGGGGCGCTAACATACATTAAAGAGAAACAAACGTTTCATGAGGCAAAGAAGAAGACACGGGGCGTTAGCAACTGGCGGTGAATTGTGTGAAGAAAATAACATCCAGGTTTGCAAACTAGATTGCTTTTCGGATTTATCC